GGAGAATGTCTCTCACAAGAGGGTCTTAGGGCCTGTTTTAGCGAAAAAGGGTAAACCTCAAACTCGTTCAGCTTAAAATATTCAATATGCCAATGTGCCACATGTGAGAGTAGTGTGTCCTGAACCCTATCACATGCTTGCTTGCTGCTTTCTGCAGGGGGTGTAGATATATATCTAACTTACCTAAAATGGTGTGAGAATATTTCAGTTTTATCTCTGGTCTCACAGTAGCATTATGGGATAAAGTTCTAAGTCCCAATAATCAGGAGTAATATTAAATTTATAAGCCTAAGGTATGACCTATTTCTGTCTAGAGAGGGAAAGACCTAAGATCAAAGATTACACTGTCCTTGACATATATTCCATGGGTTTTGCTGAAAAACTGCAAGATTCTCAGGCCTACATATGGAAACACACACACTACAGTTTTGTCAAGGACACTGCTGGTATACAGTATCAAAAGAATACCTGTAGAAGCCTTTACTGGGGGTGGGTAAGGAGCACACTGTCTTTTGTCAATATACAGATCATCTCTGGATGCAGCCTAGCTAGACCACTTATAGGGCTGAGGTGAGCAAGTCAGGGACCACAGACACCTGTGCCCCTAGACCACACACTTCTTTCTGTTCCACCCTCTGCAAGCACATGGCTTCCATCCTTGAGGGCACTTTGCAGAGGAGTCAAAATTTTTAGGTAAGAGTTTCAGAACCAAGCATAATTATTTTACAGCATAATTCTTTATTATATAATGTCTCTGGGATTTTTAAACACTTAAATTGTTGCAAACGATTAAACAGTTGCATAAATAGAATATCCATATAGCCTTCACCAGCTTCCCCTCATGTTATCATGCCATAGTAAAATTATCCAAACCAGAAATTGACAATGATACGTGTTAACTAATCTACAGATTTTATTCAAATTTTTTCAACTGTCTCTGAGATGTTTTGTGAATAAGAACTTTCTTTGCCAACGTGAATGCTAATCTGTCTGAAAGAATACATCTTCCAAATTATAATTCAAGTGTATGTGGTAAAATTACCACATTAACTGGAGGTTTAAAGACAGTAGAATGAGTCACTGACAAGAACCTCAGAAGGCAAAAGTAAATTTAAGTATTAATTCAAAACACAAGATTAGTGTTTGGTACAATAACAGAGAGGTTATTCTTCAAAATGAGTTTATGAGATACATTAATTAGAGGATTTAGAATATAAAATTTAGAAAAATGTTTGATTTTTATGGACATTTGATTCATAAAAACAGCACTGAAATCACACATACTGTTTCATATATAGTTCTGTTACACTGGCCTGTCATTTGGGAAAACAATAAAACTAGTCAAGGAGAGGTTAATATTGCATTCAGTCACTCCTATCAGACCTGAAGGCAGCAATCTGGATACTCAAGGGGCTTCCATCTCCACAGAAGCCAAGGAGGGGTTGCAGGGCAGCTGTGCACTCAGTGGGCATCCAAATTCTTTCAGCTGTCTTCACAGGCAATTTACAATGTGAAGTGGCTCTTGGAGTCCCAGCTGTCACATCCTGTCCCATTCACAGCATCATCAGCAAGAGAGGATCGGGCGGCGAGGGGCAGTGGTAGTGCTTCTTCTGGCTGACTGGCTTCTTCCAAGTTATCTTTCTGAAGGTCCCACAGGATAGTCTGAATCAAGTCCCAGGTCAGATCCAAGTCACATGGCCACACCTACCTGCAAGGGAAGGTGGGCACACTGCCACTCTGAATAAAACTGGAGCTGTGTTGCCTGGCATTAATGGTTGCTGTGTGGCCAGTAACATGTCTGCACAACCATTATCTCATTCCTTTCAACAAGATAAATCCAGATAAAGTGTTGATGAATTATGAAAAAAAAAAATAAAGACATAAAAGTAGTTAGGTTTGGGGTAATGAAAATGATCTAGGACTACACGGTGATGATGGGCGCACCACCCTGGGAATACACTAAACATCAATAAATCATATGCTTTCAGAGTGAATTTTATAATATGTGAATTATATCTCAAGTAGTTAGGGGCAAATATTGGGGAATATTTTTGAAAGTCTTAGGATAGGGAAAGCCTACGTATGACACCAAAAAAAAAAAAAAACCCACAAAAACAATGCGGAAAGTTAAAAGAATAATCAGGAAAAATACACACATCAGAAAGACATTTAATATCTATAATATACAGTTTTTATAAAACAACAAAATTATAAAATACCAGAAGAAAAATAGGCTAAGTACATTTAATGATAATTCACAAAAGTAGAAAAATAGCTGATAAAATTTTTTAAGTCCCCCCCAATAGTTATTAAAAATGCAAAGAAAAACAAATATTTGCCTCTCAGGCTGGCGCTAATGTAAAAGACTGGCAAAATGCAGTGTTAGCTAGAAAAACATCTTTATATGCTGTTGATGAGAGTATATACTGATAGAGTCTTTTTGGAAGTAGTCTGAAAATGTGCACTTCTTTGATCCAAGACTTCAGTAAACAGTGGTACTGGGTAGCCTGATACAAGCTGCTGCTCCAAACCAAGCCTGTCCAAGTAATTTATAATAAGAAACATATATTTGGTCTTCCTCCCCACTCCTGGCACAGAGCTAAAACCTGTGGAATTTCCTAAATGATAAGATCAAGGTGTCTTTTGATATTCCTGAGAAGCCCCTTTCAACCACACCTGATCTGATGTTAATGTTGTCTTTTGGAAAGCCCCTAATGATGGCCAGTGGAAGCAACAACTTTCCGTCCCACCCTTCTGGCCTCTGGGGAGTGGGGAAGGTCTGGAGGCTGAGCTAATCACTAATGGCCAATCCTTTAATCAATCATGTCCATATAGTGAAGTTTCCATAAAAAAAAAAAAACCCAAAACCCAAACTGAAGGAATTCAGAGAGCTTCCCAGCTGGCACCCCTGGAGAGAGGGCATGAAGCTCTGCGACCACCTCCATACCTGGCCCCAGGCATCAGCTCCATCTGGCGCTCCTGAGTCTATGCTCTGTAATAAATAGGCGATCTAGTAAATCAATTGTTTGGCAGAGTTCTGTGAGCAGCTCTAGCACATCACTGAACCAGGGGGTGCTGGGAACCACTGATTTATAGCTGGGTGGGCAAAGCACATGGGACAGCCCAGACATGGGACCGGCATCTGAAGCAAGGAGTGGGGAGTCAGTCTTGTGGGACTGAGTCCTTAACCTGTAGCATCTACACTAACTCCATATAGTGTCAGAAGTAAATCAAACCAGCACACTGATGTGGTATCCACAGAGAATTGGGAAAATAGCTCGGTGTAGAAACGCCCCCCCACACACACACATACACAAGTGAAGTATTTGAGAATACAGAAAAAGAGAAGTTTTTCACCACAGGTTTCTAAAGCAATAACAAAACAATGTGATAAGATATAAGTAAAAGGCTATTTTGTTAGTACTTACAGCCATTCAATATGATACAACAGCTACAGCTACACAGTATGACAGCTACAGCCGCTCAATTCTATAGCATGTCCTGGGTTCTGAGGGGCCACTGCTGGTAAGCAGTATATCTTTTACTAAGAGCTTTGCAAGAGAGAAGACATTCATACATTCACACAGGATTTTTAGTAACTAATCAAACTTTCTTCCTCAGATTCACATTTAAATCTCTATGTCCTCTCATTCAGACACTGAAGATCTTTCTGTTCATACTAGTCGTCAGGAATCATACACATCGGGTGCTGCTGCCCTACTTTTCATAACCCATGCTTGTGAATTTGACTTTTCCAGTATGTTTAGGAAGAACATAAGACCAAAACCACATTCAAGAATAACTGGATTCTGGGATGCCTGGGTGGCTCAGCCGTTGAGTGCCTGCCTTCAGCCCAGGGCATTATCCTGGAGTCCCAGGATCGAGTCCCACATCGGGCTCCCCACATGGAGCCTGCCTCTTTCTCTGCCTCGCGCTCTCTCTCTCTCTCTCTCTCTCTCTCTCTCTGATGAATAAATATATAAAATCTTAAAAAAAAGAATAACTGGATTTTGTCCGAATTTCCTATTTGATCACGTGAACTTGAAAACACTTACTTAACTGAATTACACAGAATAGGAAGTTAAGTAACTTCTCTTTAATACTAGGTCCCAGCTCTATTTCTCTAAGAAATATGGATCAACCATCTAGTTTTGAAATTTTATAATCCATTTTTTAGAGTTCCAGCAATTTCTACTGATTTTAATTACAATTTTTGCAGTGCAACAAGTAATCTGCATATATAATACTTTTGCTTCAGTGGTATTTGCAATAATGAATTTTACCTAATAGTCAAAAGTCAAAAAAAAGTTTTTGTGTTCGTTCATCTTTTAAATAGATCCCAGAAGTCACGTTTTTTCCAACTGAAGTTCACCATCCATTAGTATTAGTGGTTTGTGTCTAGTATTCTAAAAAATAGAATGAAAAATTCCAGCAGGCATCACATACAGTAAAAATATGTACTGTTTTGTTAAATTTTTGTTCACATGTATAGAAGTCTGTGCATGTGTGTGTGTGTCTGTGCATACTACAATGTAAAAAGTATTTCTTCTTGTGGTCAGAGAGTTGGAAAGCAAGCCACTGCTGTAAAGGCTTCTGTCTGGCAGTGAATTCACCAGATGCTAATGCCATTTACTCTTCCATGAGCTCTGGATTAAGCTGCCTGACCACAAGTGGGTGTGGTTCAGTCCTTCTACGGAAAAGATTAGAGGAATCAAATAGATCTAAATAACTCAAACAATTAGATGACATATATGATTTCAATTGTTGATGTTACATTTTAGCTGCAAATGTTTAGAAGAAATTCATCTACCAATAACTCCAAAAAGAGAGAGAACATTCACTTCTTCCTCAGTCCAACATCTCACCAGAACCATACTGCCCTTTATAAAAAAGAAATGGAAGTAACCTATACATATACCTTAAGTTTTAGCCACGATGGTACTTAAGACTTAAAAGTAAAACAAAAATACATTTGAATGCTTATAAACCAAAACATGAAATCACTTTTTGTAAAACTTTAATTTCTAAGACATTCAAAAAGTCACACTAAAAGTATCCCATAGAAATAAACATGGCCAACAGATAATTTGTAAACAAAACACTCTGTAAACAAAAGTAATATACCAGTGCATCTAAACATTATTTTAAAAGTAACATCATACCAGTTTTTTAAAAGTCAGTACTGCATAAATGCTATTTTTAAAAATTATTTTAATAATTCTGCCTTTATACATTTAATACTGTGCTAACAACAAAGAAAGCCACATAGGGTTTTCAAATGATGTAAGCCTGTGCTGTAGGCAGGTTAAGCGGTTATGGGGGCACAGACAGGTAGGTCTACTGCGATCCAGCAAAGCAAGCAGACACTGATGCCCCTAACTATCAGGTGCACACAGTACACTACCTGAATATTCCAAGAGTCAAACCATGCAGAAGACTTCATTCTCATCCACAAATCAATCAACCTCTCAGTGTGGCGCTAAAGGAGCTAACATCTATGTGCATGCGATTTTCATATAGTCTCTTCTTTTAGAGCAGATCTATTTTTATATAGAATATATATAAAGCTTAAGTAAATACTAAATCTAAGAAATATCTTGGAAAAAATCAGTAAAAATTACAAATGTTATCTATAAAATTTATAAGTTTAAAATAAGTATTACAGAACCAATTAAGAATAGGCTAAGTCTCCACAAAAAACTTTGTAACTTCAGTGTCTAATGCCCTTTTAAAGTTGATCCTAAGGTGAGAAAAAGTCAATGGAGCATCTGACTTCACACAGCCACCTAGCCCCCTACCCAACGAGAATAAAATGGCCATCCCAGGGGCCACTCTTGACTGTGGGCACAGGGTGTTCTGGTGTCAGGCCAGCCAGCCGCCTTCTCCTTCACTAGCACAACAACTGCAACAAATGAAAGACTGGGGGGGGGGGGGGCTGTTCTTACCAGACTTCAACATTTGGCCTCAGTGTGCTGCCTGCCACCCATTTCTGCCATGCCCTCATGCAGCCAGCCACCAGTGTATGTCCAATAGAAACACCTGCATTTAGACTAAGTCTCTTACTCAAGAGGAAGACTCTTGTGTACATGACCAGGAATATACTCTTTATAGAACCCCAAGTGGCCGTAATCATGTGGCAAACAGAGTATATTAACAGTTATTGTTCCCAGAAAAGGCATCTGAGACCCAAGGTTCAAAACTGCCCTTCACGTGCGGCAATAGTATCCTCTGTCTCAAAAGCAATGAAGATGCACCCAGTAACAGCTGTAAGAATTTAGGATACATTTCACTGCTTACTAATCCAAACCTGGCCTAAATTTTCTGATGGAAAGAAACTTTCAAATGAACAAAAAATTGATATAGACACTGAAAAGTTTAATATTTTACTCAGAAATTTTCAGACATCTTACAAATACCCAAGAACTTCCTATGGATGTGCCCTGAAACCAGTGTAAGTTACAAGTGACTTTTTTTATTTAAAAAATTTTCTTTCTCTTTTCCCCTTGACTTAGTCTGCTCAAAATATGGATTGCAAGCAAGTTTCAGTAAAAATCAAAGCTTGCAATTAATGTTTAAAGAAGTGTAATTACCAGTGAAATTAGGAAACAGCCAACTTCTGTTAATTTCCTCAATATGCATATCTTATGTGGAGAGAGTCACCAATACTAGACTGATGGTATTTATGGAGTGTTGTTTAGAATCACAAAATGTTCTTTTATTTTAAAACTGGGCTGATTTTAACAATAGAAGCTCAGAATGAAATATAGAGGTATAAATAAAGAAGTATACTCGATTGAATTTAGGAATACAGATTAATTTTTCTTATTATTTTGGCTCTATGTGGAAATTTTTTTGTCAATTATATACAGTCTGATTTTCATAAATTTCTCCCATAACACCCTTTAAACTCAACAATTTGAGAAAAATGTTCTTTTACTTTTGTCTGAACACAGACAATCTGTTGCCATACACATAGTGCATGTGAACCTATGTGTTTATAGAGACTGCATAACTACAAAGTATGTACAAGGGGCTCATCTCTCATTTCTGCATGCACAGTTTTCAGTACTCTGAGTGGATGGTAATACAGAGTACAATTTCATAGTTTTTATTCAGTGGACTTAAAGTCCCCAGAATTACTTATAATTTAATAACTGAATGATTATCAGATCATGATACACTACAAAACTATTCTCACATCATGAACACTGACAATGTGCATCTGGGTGTTAAAGTGGAAACGTTTATAAATCTGAGGTGTAAACTGGCATATATAAAAGTAACCAAGGCCTGAAGAATGTGGTGACGGGGCGGGGGGGGGGGGAGGGTTCTACCACAGAGCGTTTGTAGTTTAATAACAGACACAGGAGCACAAGGAACTGAGAGATTTTGAAAAAATGCTTAAAAAAATTAAGTGTACATATAGCCTATAAGGCAAAATCCAAGTTACAAGTGTGTTCGACACTGGCAACTATGTTATGAGAGGTAATATTAAATTACATACACAAAAGATATCAGAGAACTACAAGTACATAATACTTCCTATGTAGTCTACTACACTGTACAGAGGAAGGTATTCCCATGGTGTCCTAGCATGAACCGGGTTTTGAAAGAATTTTCTATTTTCCCCTTGACTCAAAGTCCAATCAATATCATTCTGAAATATAAACCAGAACTATGCTTTTGTCCTTTTCTTTAAGGAAGTGAAAAATATCATTTGCAAACTACCGCTCCAATGCCCCCACTGAAATAACGGCACCTATAAACCTGCATTTTTGCAGGGCCTTCACTTCACATCCAAGTACCAAGAATGTATTTCACGTCAGCTTCTCCATTTTGAATAAAATATATAATGGGATTTAACTGAATTCTTAGAAGGCCCCCAAAGTTTGCCTTTTCTAGCATTCTCATATGGGTGATTGTATCAATTGGTGCAAGCAAATATATCCACAGAAGAATGTGCTGCCCTAAGGAGCCTGCCTTTGGCTGGCAACTGCGGGATTCGTCACAAAGTTAAATGAGAAGAGGGCCTGTGGCAGCCAAGTTCTTAGGAGCTTATGAAAGAAATGGCACTGCCAGGTTCAGGCCCTAAATGTGAAGCATGGTCAGTGCGAGTTATTTCTGACTGACAGGCATGTCAGGAGTGTGGGGGTCCCAGATCTCTTGATCGCAGAGTGCTGCTGCATGTCTCACAGTGCTTTGTGATGCCCGTTTGCAGATGCCTTGGATGTTTCTGAATCCCTTGAAGTATTTGATAAGTGAAGCTTATGAAGCCCTGCAGAAAAATTAAGAAAATGGTAAGAAATGATGTATTGTTACTTGGGTAGGCAGAGGGCTAACAAGGCAGAGTGTCAAGTGTTACTGAGAAAGCTCTGATGTGCTGGCTGGACCCCCTTTAGGATGAAAGATCTCCTGTCCCCACTGGAGGCTCCCTGGAGGGCTTAAGCAGAAGACAGCTGACCCCCAGGAAACCATGCCTTCTCTTCAGCTCCATGCAAGCTCTGGGGCCCGTGAAAGCTTCTGGTTTCTTATCTCTGCACAGTTAGTTCCTTTTCCACCTTCTGCCCTCCACACAATCCCAAGAGCACCCTCTCATACACCTCCTCCTTCATCCCAGCCCCAAAGTGTGATTCCCAGGGGAACTAACCTGAGACAAGTATGATCCTATTTTTGCTTTAAAAACATACATGCAAGCACACACACAGGAAGACATACAGAAAGACACACCAAAATAGTAAGCACATAATTAAAAGGAAAAGCTTTGGAAAACATGATCAAAAAAAAAAAAAAGAAGAAATGGCAAAAGAATAAATTGAACATAAAGATTTTGTTATCCAAAGATATATCACAGAATAAAAATTTAGACTACACTATCTTTTAAAGTTATATTAGTTTCCCTCTGGATCATCCACTAGTCTCTTACATAATGTACCTGATATATACAACAATACTGTGCAACTCAGGAATAATAGGTAGAAGAAAATTTAAGAGTTCATGTGGCACCAAAACTGTCAGCACTTATTAACAAAATGAAGCACAAAGATGTTCAAGAATACCAGCACATCTATGGAAAAGATTTTGAGGAAACATTTTTATGAGGTTCAGACTTTTGTGACACCTCAAAAACATACTTGGATAAGATTCTATTCTCCTAAGATTCCAGAAAGCTATCTACCTGGCGGTTAAGCAATTTTATATCGCTCTTAAGTCAACACAGCATTCTGAATTTTAAAATTTCTATCACCTGCATATCTTAATGCAAGAAAAGGTAAAATTAAGTCTGTCTATGATGGACGAATGGGAAGGAGAAAAGAAATCAATCCAACACAATAAACAGTTCAAGTCCCAGGAATGGCCAAACCACTGCATGACAACAGGAACCCACAGCTGGTGGGTGTGGGAAAGCATATTTAAACCGGGCCTGCTGGAGAAGGAGGTAGGTGGAGAGAGAAACCAGCTGAGTAATCAGTGCCCCAAGTGAAAAGGAATCCCCTTTGAGGACAGACTTTCCATTATTACTTCTAAAACTTGGGTACAAAAAAAACAAACAAACAAACAAACAAAACTTGGGTACAGCACAGGCTACACATCTTTAAGAAAAACTACAATGTGTCTCTCTGCAGAAACAGTCACTTCCACCACCATCTATATACCAGATACTCTATAAGATAGGTACTGTCATTATCAATGGACATAGCAGCAGAAGAAAAAAGCCTACAAAAAAAGGAGGGAGGGATAATAAAATTTTATAATCAAATTATGATTCCCAGTGAAATCAGATTTAAGATCTCAGACTATTCACACATTATTACATAGACTTAATGAGGATCTTTCTGTACTTAAAATGCATTTCTTCCTTAAAGCATTCCCAAGAGTAACAGAAAACATTTTGGACAAAAAAACAAATCCATCTATTAGTTTTACACAACTCTTGATAATTCTACTGCCTGTTATGGTCAAAGAGCCAACACAACATACATGACTTCACTTTAATGATATCTCACTGCATTAATGAAGACTTCCTCAGAAAGATGATACCTAGAATACTTAACTCAAAACTAAATTTACTGCAATTTGTCTACAAGCATCTCATGTTAGTGACAGCTAAGTGGGAATTGATCTGACATTCTGGCTAACTAGTTTCACTGATGCTACTATGGGCTTAAAAATGAACCTCTAGGGACACCTTGGTGGCTCAGTGGTTGAGTGTCTGTCTGCCTTTGGCTCAGGTCATGACCCTGGGGTCCCAGGATCAAGTCCCACATTGGGCTCCTGTGAGGAGCCTGCTTCTCTCTCTGCCTTGTCTTTGCCTCTCTGTGTGTTTCTCTCATGAACAAATAAATAAAATTTTTAAAAAATGAAGTTCTAACTTTAGACATTTCGCTGAGAGAACTGTTGATTCCCACTTCACCTTACAAATTTTAACCTGGCCAACATTAGGAAACATAAGCACGAAAATTCATACATTATCCGGTGCTTCAGCTGAAATGAGATGTCATTTTCACTTCAAGGCACTACTGTACCAGCCACCCCTTCACAGGATGAATGTAATAAAATATGTAGGAATAAATACTTTGAATTATTTTTCCCTTTCCAAAGGTCATCCCTTCAGTCACAGGGGTTGGAAGAACTTGGTGGGGTGAGAAGCTTTATTGTTGTTCAGAAGTTTGAAGTTATGTGGATCTTAATGAACCAATCACTATGTAGCCTTTTGCAACAGCTAAAAGCCACAATGGAATACAGTGTATAAGCATTCAATGTCAAGCCAGGTAAATGACCTAATGTTAGGATTTTCTACAATAAATCATTACCTTTCCCTTCTGTTATTAGAAAATTACACACTCCAAACCCAAGAGGGTTTATATAGCAAGATAGTTTATACTTCCCTGGTATTCCTACAATATAAAATAAAACTTATACAAATATAAAGTAAAATAAAAACATATAAAAATGTTTAGTGCTAATGTTGAAGTAAGAATGGAAAAACTCATTCATAAGTAACATTTATACACTTTCTAGCTTAGCCAAACCTAAGAGTTTTTTAATATGGTCATAATGTATGTGACTTATGGAATACATAATAATGAATACCATCTCTCCTATTAATGACAAGAATACTAATATTTTTATCCTGAGTTATCTGGCTTACTGAAGAGCATTATAGGTCAGCCCAATACTTGTAAAATCTAAGCCTCAAAAGTAATCTGTAACTAAGAAATTGTAAGAGGTATCATTACCAAAAAATAAGTCTCTTGGCCATTAGCCTCACCTCACTCCACACCATCATCCTAACAATAAAAGAGCTCATTTTATTGAGCTCTTCTGATGTGCCATGACTCTCTGCTCAGGCCCTTACAAGAAATATTCCAGTTAATATTCACAACAGTCTTCAAGAGAAGAAGATATTGTCATCATTTTACAGATAAGGAAGCTGAGGCTTAATGAGGTGATTTCACACAAGAGCATAACCAGTAGTAATGGGTCAGAAATGGCACCTCTATGGTTTCACACAGTAGGAAAAATGAACAGATGAAGATTTAAAATTAATTCAAATGACAAAATTAGAAATTAGCAGAAAGAGAGAAAAAATACCCATAAACCTCAGGATTACCTAGGGCCTTGAAAAGTTCTTCTCGTACAGCAGAGGTGAATTTTCTGACCAGACACAATGTGGTCACAATAGCAAAAAGCAAATTGTAGGATAATACAATATAGAAATTTCCCAGCCAATTAAACCTTCCAAAGTCTCCAAGTAGATCAAATCTAGTGATTCCTGTTAAAAATAAATAAAATAACCCTTAATAAAATCAGGTACAATATATTTAAATGTTACAAAATAAAGTACAAATCAGATCAAATTCCATGGACTTTCTCATTTCTGTTAGTGGGAATCCTAGTTAGAATATGTAATTGTTATCTTAAGGAACCTCAGCCAGCCCTAACCTACTTTCTCTGTGTGTCACAGTCTCTTGGAAGTGATGAGGCTGGAGTGAATGTCCCTTGTCACTCACTATACTTACCCTGACAAGAAATCCACTGTGCGGCTCATGGGGAGAAAGGGCACAGTATGCTCAACTCAAATATGAAGAGTCAGATGGAATCTGACGGAGAAGACAGTGGACAAACCTTCAGACCTCCCACTCCCCACTGCTTGGCCACTCCCTCCATGCAGGTCCCAGGTCAAACATCACTTTCTTGGAGAGGGCAACTGTTTCCTCTACATGAAAGAGCTGGACCCTCCATGGCCAACTATCCTAATTACATTTCTTTGTAACACATACTACTTGAAATATTTCTTTTCCTTTCTGGTTTATTTACTGCCTACCTTCCCTACTAGTATACTACTACTAAGTTCTATGAGAAAAAGGACTTTGTTTCACTTTTATAATCCCAGTGCCCAGGGCAATGCTTATATATACATAATAGTTACCACATAAACGAATAAACAACTAGGGTGATTCCTTTCTGGGTTGGCAAGCTGGGGAGTGGGAATAAAAACATTATTAATCTGAACCGGATACTACAGGCTTGTGGAGTAAAATGGCAAACCTAGAGAGGCAGTTATTTTATATATATTTTGAAGTTACATAAATTCACCTACATACATTTTAAAAAGCAAGTCTTTTTACTCAAAAAATAATTCAGTCATCCTATTCAGTAATTATGTGCCCTAGACCAAATACTTATTGAAAAGAATACGTGAATGCTAGGATTTTTCTGACCACTGTAAATAATTAAGTAAACAACATTTAGGTAGTCAGTCCAGCGACAGATGATGGGACTGCTGGAAGAGGTACTTGGGGCCATACAAAATTTTAACCACAAAGGACTGTATAAACAAAAACCAGTATCTTTATTTTAGGAGTGGTCTAAGGATTTCAAGAGTAACAAAACTCCACTTCATATCAGCTGACTTTTAAACTTAGCTCTCATCCCCACCCAAAGCAATCCATAACCTGTTATAGAGACAGATTCCACAAAAGCAGTGCATAGAGACAACAGAAAGACCTTCATATCCAAAAGTATCACAAAAATAGGTTTCAAGAAGTAGTTCTTCTATGGCCACATTTACACAGGGCCAATGTATTTGAACTTGAGAGACAATAATCTATCTACCATAATATTTTAAAGAGAAGATTAATAAAAACATACAATAAAATATCTTTTTAAAGAAAGTAAAGGGACCCAGACTCCACACAGAATATGCCACATAGACTACACCCTGAACCTGGCTGAGGTACCACACTGGGACAATGGTGCCATGCACTGAGCACAGTGACAATGGAAGGTAAGTTATGAACAACGGGAAGTACTTTCACTAGGACTATCTTGGTGGATTCAACTTGATATCCTGAGAGTCAGGGCCAAGACCTAATATGAAACCCCAGACAGAGAGCAGTCTCTTCAGTATATGTGTGGCCCTAAAGACATCTCAGGTTGACCTCACAGACAGAAATCCAGGAGGATGTTGCTATAGTGCACCAAAGAGTACCAGACAAAATACTAGATTACAGGGACTAGTTACAAAGATGCTGGTGTCTCTAATTTAATTTAATCTTTTAAATATCTAACTGATATCATCTGACTAAAAGATCACTCTGGACAACACATGCAGTTCTTCAATTCTTAAAACCTTCTGTAAGACTGAACAGCAAGAACTTGGAAACAATCACTTCCTTCAACTTCTGTCTGAGAGGTTTATGTCACAGCAATTATTAAACTTTAAAATGTACTTTGTTAGAAGCACCAACACTTAAAACATAACAATACTTGAAATTTTAATTTAACACTTATTGTACAAATTTATTATTCTTCAACATCTCTATTTCTGGAGAAAGATATAAAACGGTATTAAAACAGCATATTTTAAAATAATTACTAACTAAAAAAACCTCAATTATCAAATATTGATATTTAACTCTTCTAGTCAAATACTGAAATGCTCACTCCTATTCAGAAGTCATTTCCTTAAAAGATGAGTAAAATACACACCAGGTAAAAAGCCTAGTTAGTTAAGCAATGGCTAAGCATAAGCCATATTATCTGGACTATCTGGGAATAAAATACATTAAGATGCAGTTGAAAATGTTTTATGCATAATTCCTTGAATAAAGATCTTTTTCTAGTCATACCTATATAAGAACCAAAGTACAAAACCTCATTTCAGGAAAGAGCTGGTTACTCCACCTCCAATATGAATCACGAGAATTTTCCTTCATTAGCCCACCTGATCAGACTCTGATTTCTAGCAAGCATACTCCTGTTCTTTACTAGCAAGAAGCGAGAGAGAGTTTATAAAGGTGGACACACTTAAGGATCATTAAAGTAACTTTATCAAAAAATCATATATACTGGCATCTCACACAAATGGCTGACATGATATGATACGGCTTTAATGTAAGACTGCCAAAAAGAACACACATATCTTGTCATAAAAGATAAATGTATAAGTTAAATGTTCTCTGACAAAACACTGAGATTGGGGGATCTGGGTGGCTCAGTTGGTTAAGTGTCTGACTCTTGATTTTGTCTCTGGTCATAATCTCAGGGTCATTGCTTAAAGCAAAAAATAAAAACAATGTATTATAGGGTTTATAACATGGGTGCAAATAAAATGTATGATAACAAAAGCAGGAAGACTGGGAGGGAAGAAATGGAAGTATGCTGTGGGAAGGCTCTTCTACTAAGTGCTATGATTTTACAGTAATGGCTAGTAGGTCAACAAAAGAGATAAAATGGAATCTTTTTAATGAATTTTTAATGCATTTTTATCCAGAAAAATGAAGGTAACGAGGAAAAAGGGACCAAAGAAGAGATGGAAAGAAAAAGATCATAAAGAGCAAGACTGTAGATTCAAACATAATAATATCAATAATTACATTTGAAGTAAATGGTCTAAACATCCAAATTCAAGAATGAAGATTAATAGATTGAATTAAAAAACAAGACCCAACTCTACATTATCTGTAAAAAAAACAACTATTTAAATATAAAGACACAAATATATTGAAAGTGTAAGAATGGAAAAAAGTATACTATGTAACCATAATAAAAAAATTGCTGACATGGCTCTTCAATGTCACACAAAGTAGATCTTATAGCAAAGAAAACTACCAGGGATAAAGAATGTCACCATCATCATCATAATTATAAAGGGGTCAATTCATCAAGAGAACATAATAGCCCTAAATATTTATGCATCTAATAACAGAACTTCAAAATACATGAAGCAAAAACAGAAATGTAAGAAGAAATAAACCAATCCACATTTTTAGTAGATTTCAAAACCCTTCTTTCAATAAATTATAAAACAGTTAGAAAATCAGTAAGGATACAAAGAACTTCAGTAATATTATCAGCTAATTTGATCTGACATTCATAGAACATTCTACCCACCAATACAATACACCTTTTCAAGCACATAGAGAAGATCCATGAGGACAGACCATGTTATAGGCCATAAAGCAAGTCTCAATAAATTCAAAATGATTCAAGTCATATAAAATATATTTCCTCACTACATGGAATTAAATTAGAAATCATTAACAGACAGATCTCTCTGGAAAATCCTCAAATATGTGGAAACTAAGTAATAGGCTTCTAAATAATCCATGGTCAAGAGATGAAAAAAAAAAAGGAAAGTCAGAAAGGATATTGAGCTGAATGAAAATGGAAACACTACAGATCAAAATTCAGAGGGGTGCAGCCAAAGCAGTACTTAGAAACTCATAGTGCTAAGTGCCAGTGTTAAAAAATAAAGAAGATCTCAAATCAGGGAACTCAGCTTCAATTTTAAGAAAACAGAAAAATAAGAAAAAAATAAACCCCAAAATAAGCAGAAGAAAGTAAATAAGAGAGAATCAATGAAAGGAAAATATAGAAAAATAAATGAAACTAAAAACTAGTCCTTGGAGAAGATCAGTAAAAATCAATAAACCTCTTGGGGCTCCTGATTCTTGATTTCAGCTCAGGTCATGATCTCAGGGTTGTGGGATCGAGACCTACAAGGGGCTCCAAGCTCAGCAGGAAGTCTGCTTGAGATGTGCTCTCTCTCTTTCCCTCTACCCTTCCCCTAACTCGAACATCTGTGCACTCTCTCTCTAATATTTTTTTTAAATCACTCTAGCAACACTATTAAAGAAAAAAAAAGACACAAATTACCAATATTAGCTATGAGTAGGTAAATAACACCGCAGTACACTGATATATCAATCTATACTAGAGGGATAATAAAGGAACTTTATGCCAAAATACTTGATAACATAGATAAAATAAACAAATTCCTTAAAATACATTAACAAACTCACTCAAGAAGAAATTAAAAAGCTGAGTAGTCCTCTATCTATAAAAGAAATAGAATTTGCTGTTAAAACCATTCCACAAAGTAAATTCCAGGCCCAAATGGCTTCTTCACTGGTGAACTATATCAAACATTGACAGAGAAAATACCCCAATTCTATAAAAACTCATTGTCTTAAAAAAAAAAAACTCATTGTCTTGGTTCCTTTAGGGTTGCTATAACAAAATGTCCTAGACTGAGTGGCTTACAAACAACAGACATTTATCTCTCACAGTTAGTTCTGCAGGCTACAAATCCAAGATCAAGGCTCCAAAAGACTTGGTGTCTGGGGAGGGTCCACTTCCTGGTTCACAGACAGCTATCTTTTCACTGTAACCTCACAGGGCAGAAAGGGCAAAAGAACTCTCTGGGGCCTCTTTCATAAGGGCACTGATCCCACTCATGAAGGTGGAGCTTCATGACCTATCACCTCC